TTGCACTGCTGAAGTTCGCTCCCATATACGGACGTTCTGGTGTGGCGAACTGCATGTAGGATGATCACTGCCCCCACATTAGAAAGTTAGCATCCCTAAACCAAATCTTTAAATGATGCGTTGATGGACGCTTGTGGAAGCGAACAAGACTGACTGATCACTCTGCTTGTATTATTTAGCTGATTCATATATAATAATATCCGGATTTCATTCGCATATTCTAACTGTTTCCACAAGAAATAGGACTACCATAATGTAAGTCACATGGTTAGAAGACAAAGTCTGCAATAAACACCAAGCACAATACAGTATGGTTACATGAGATGCAGGTGTATAGCAATCCGAACTGCGTGCAACTCTGGACACTATTCATGCACTAATACATGAGGGCAGGAAAGCAAAACTGACCCAAAAAGCTCAGTGCTTTGTTGGTTAATGTCTTTCCGTGCATTTTGTGTAATGAACATTGTTACGTTGGTAAGCTTACCGACAGTTTAATAGAGGTTTGCTTTGTGGGAACAAACTTTTTGCCGACGAGCGCTTGGACTGTACCAAGAACGATCTGTGACGCTTAAAGGCCCGTCAGAAACAAAGATTTTATAGGAACTTCCAAAAAGCTACGGGTAAATGATGAACGGGAGATTTATCCGGGATTTAGGTATCTTCCACGAAAAATTCGTATGCAGCTGAGTGTATTTGTTTAGATGAACACCCTCTTTGGTCACTTTGTTCACCTGAACTGAAAACTTGAACTGAAATAAGCCACCCGGTTGTGGCACATCAGCCGTTCTACTCATAACTGCTTCTGTAATCGGCAAAAGTTTACAAGATTTGATAAATGCATTTGTTTGCCAAAACTTCAAGCTGTTTAGAGAAAACGTAATTTTTAGATCTACGTGAAACATTACGTTCCACTGGCGACATTTGACACCGCAATTAGGGCAGCAAAGTTGCAGGATGAAGTCGATTTGTGGACTCTCATCCACCGTGAAGAAAACAAAGATGGTAAACCAAGCAAAATCACAACTCCCAGCTGCCTCAACATTCTTAAATAAGTTTGGTACAACATGGATCCACTAAGAAATCATTGGTAATCTCGAGTCCACGGTCAGTATATTTGGGTTCTCAATATTGGCTTCCATCTGATGGTCAACACTGCTCCGGACTGACTATTTCACCGGTATTATACTTGGCCTCAACCTAGAGTTTCTGGTTAAAATAAGTAGACTTAATTGGCTGCAAACAAGTCAATAGTTGTATTACTAAGCAATGCACGAATTTCTTACGACAATTTTTTTCCGTTCCTCCTCTGAGGTCATTTGTCAATTCCAATAAAATGGGTTTCACGGCAACTGTGGACATATGAGTAGGAAGTGGCTGGTAGGAAGTCTTTTTACATTTTTGAAATAACAAAGACGTTACTGCTCATCCGTGTACGTTCATCAGTGCCTAGGTTCTTCATTTTCAAGCTGTCTAATGAAAGGTCATGTGAACTAATCTCATGTTACCTGGTAGAAGAAGTGTGGATGGCACTTCATGACTGAAGTCACACCATCGGAGATTTTGTTGCCATTCTGTGCAGGTCGGCCGTTGCATTGCGAATTGTGAATCTTCACATAGCCCGTTCTTTTCGGATCAAAATCAAACGGTTCTTTGGGATGGTGTACTTGCCACATTGCACGTGCTTTGTCAGTGATCTGCTTTTGCTTCTTGCTTGATGAAAGACGATGTTCAACAAGGTTGCCAAACATACTGAAACAAAAAGAGCGTGATTCGCAAGAATCGTTCTGCGGACCGTAGATTCTCTCGAGAAAAAACATAGAGATATGATAAAGCACAGATATATCCATATTCTTCAATCCATTTCACAGAATAACGATATATTTAGGGGCAAAATCAAAATGATAAGCCATACGCAGTGGCGGACATCCATATCCCTGTTTTAGAACTAAAAATCTGTTGCAACTCTACACCTGCAACGTCCAAATCAATGTGTCGAAATGGTGTCGCCTTGAAATCCCCACTGAGTCCCTCTTTTTCAGATTATTTCACGAGGAAGCCCTTATATCGGCTGGGAGTTTATCTGAGCAAACGATGTACACACTGTTGTCCGAAAATAGACAAAATAATTTTTGGTTGCATACAGTAATATCCTTTTCTCTCTTGGAGTCATCCAGCTCTATTCACCGCAATGATAAACCTGAGTAAAATAGCCAAAGGCACGCAAGATTGAGGACAAAAGTATTCAGTCCACAGTATACATAAAATGAATATAGGCTGCACGATTCCTTTATTCTGAGAGCTTTTGTTCCAACGGACCAGGAATGAAGCCAATTTGGTGTCATGATCTGATCGAAGGACTTTTTTTCTTAATTGTGCAGGTGCGATTGGTACGAGCGTTAAATACCAGTCATAAAAACCATGCAGTCTAAGGAACCGTTACCCACAACATATTCTGCAATGAAGAAGCATACCGGTCTGGTTCTCCCAGTTAAGAGAGATCCAAAAACACTCCTATTACCAAAGGAATGAGAAATATTATTGATATCAGCGACGATTAAGCTAATTCACCTTATTTCTTTAAAAATTCACCTCATCGGTGTGGTCCACTTCGGACGACATACTGTCATCTTACCACCAGCTACATCGTGTACTTGTTCGTATGCTCACATCGGCTGTCGCATGATGCATGACTTACGATGGAACTTTCGTCAGGGGGTTATAGCAGCACACTTCCACTTCATCGAGATTTCAAACAAAGAATATGGGTTTGAGCTCTACATCTGCTCGAGCTGTTCTAAAATCGACCTTGGTCATTTTCCGAATAGTGAGTCTGCAGGAATCCAGTCTTGATACTCCTTCTCAGATATGTTCAGATGTGATTTTGACATGACTTTTAAATATTGCTGGGTAGAGATAAGTTTAGCCAATGCAAATCTTTTAGCCTTCTTTCACTATGGCATTTTGTGACTATCACAAAGAACACATAATTGACTTGCGTTTTCGTATAAATTCTGACTATATTCTGATGATAACCTGTTTACGCTGATGACTTCTAACTTATTTGCTGGAGTAGAGAAAATAAATCCAGCTAAATCTTCGTTGAGGATGTCTTCAAACTAGTTTCGCTACTTTGATCCGTCCGGCCAACATGCCAAACATGCGGCTCCGGAAAGCTGAAATATTAACCTCGTGTAGATTTCAGCATCAACGAGAGATTTCTAAGCGCCATACCTGTTGCGATCGGTAGTTTATTTTAACTACATTGGAAAGGTTTTAAAAAATGTCGCCATTCTACATGACCGTACGCTTATCATCTGATATACCGTGGCAAAGATGAGCAAACCTTAGAGGTGATTGGCTGACATTTATACTCATCACAACCGACGGACTTTGGTTATCGAATTTCCGAAGATTTTTTGTATTTCCCGTCAGGTTTGAGACACTTTTACTGCACCAAATAAGAGTGCGTGTGCAAATCGCAGCAAATGCTAAGGTGACTCCTGTTCACTTGGTGAAAAAAGTAACTACCTTATCCGATATTTTAAAGTATGGGACTTCATTCCATCTGTCGTCTTTTATTATGGCCTACTTTGAAAATAACAAAGGCCGGCGATTGTGTTTTCACTTTATGCAACCATACTCCGTTTCCAAAGTTAAACGAGGTATATACAGTTGTCTGCTTCCACAGACCACCTCTGTGCAGAATATAGGCTTTTTTACAAGTGGTCCCTTACAAGAGACCATCTGAAGGTTAATCGTTCGTGAAAATGGTGTTTTGGTGGACGTTTAGTTTCAAATAACGGATAAACTGCTACTTGTTGGGGCAAACAAGACAATGAATTTGTCACTGTCAACATAATATCCAAAAAATTGGCTTTTGCAATGGATAATTGCTTTAGCGTAGATTGTTACTAAGTTTGTAATCCAATTAATAGCTGTTTGAAATCAAATTGAATTTTGCCTGGTTTATAATTTTTATCTAATTTCCAAAGAAATAGCAAGACTAGTTGAAGGTCAGAATTGTTCCTAATATTTCGCTTTTTTCGAGGACAGCCTGACAATAAAATTTGAATTTTTCATGAATTCCAGCATTTTATGTTTGATCCTTTTGTGAGCCCGTGCCAAACAAAATTGCTTTATTTGTGTCCGTTTCTGCAAACAGTCAACAGCAAGCAGACTAATGCTTACAAATGGTCATATTGAATTTTAAGTTCATCAGATAGTAATGGGATGAATCTACGTGAACTCCTACACCTGGTGAGGTTTGCACTTCCTGCCAGGAAACAATGAACCGTTTATGAGCACAAGCCTGGGATATTTTGTAACCTGGTATCCTTTCCCAGCTGTTTAGACATAACTGACTGTTAGTAAAATTGCTCAGGCAAACTTATTTCCAAATTGTACTCATTCAAGGAAATTATCTCACTCATACTCCTGAGAACTGCAGCTGCAAATAAAGTTGAACTTCTTTTGTGCGTTGCAGCAGTTAGGCTTTGACTTGTATCAAAAATTCTCTAATTTTATTGGGTCTATTTACTTTGTGCAAACATACCTGTGTGAAGCGAAAATATTCAGCAAACACGTGGAATCCCTGAGATATTCGTAGTGTGAATAGGTTTCTAAATGTTTCCGTTCAAAAGATGAAGATTGCTGCAAATGACGACTTACAAGAAGCCATTGAACCAAAACTAAATTAGTGCAAATCGCATTTGGAACGGACAAATATGCAAAAGGGATCAGAATCTTCCGCGAGCTCGTTTATTAAGAGATTTCAGCTACAACTCTGCCAGATATCTTGATTTGTGCACTGACTGGGTTCCAACGAGTAACCCGACTGTATCCCTCTTTCGAGGAGACGAAGAGGTCATAATGGTGATGGTAATGAACTGCATGAAGTCCAGTTTCCAGGCTTGGCTAGATGACCTACATCTATTTTCAAGATGTCACTCTACTTGTGAAACTGACATTATCCTTCAACATTCAAGGAATCATTTTATCACCCGTGCACCTTAATTGACAAGATTTTTTTCCTGATCTTCAGTTGTCGCGGCCGCAGCATTTGGACAATCCTTTGCTTGCAGAATCAGTTTTGATAACGCTGGTTGACGCGGCTTATGAAGGACCATTTCTACAGTTAAAATACAGGCCAACAAATGTGGTGGATGGTGAGCTTAAATACCATTTATCATCTATGATGAAACTATGACCGAGTATGCCGTCGTAGTTATGTGAAATCGCCTGCGCACACAAATATATCAGCGCGAACCGGTCAGAAAGAATAGAAATAAACGGACGGTTTACGTGTGCTTCGCACATTTGGCCCTCAACTGTTGCGTCTACCAAATGATACCAACCCTGACAGTATTAGCCCCGGAACTGAATGGGGTATTGTGCACATGAAAAGAGGTAAAATAAAAGTCACCCGCTAATTCCACTGGATAGATTTATCCGCCTACTGAATGGAACCATGCATGGAAGAAACAAGCCAATTTATTGGAAAGTTGGAGGTTGCAAATTGCATTACGTAGAGATTTTTAATACAGCTGTGGATATGGCGTTGGCAACTATGACCTCGGAGGCCTTTTAGATATATTTATTTGCATAGAAATCCGATCCTGAGGTTATGAACTGCTTTCTGCTAAAACAACATTTCGGGACCAACAATGAGTTATGCAGGCGGGTATCGTTCACTCGGTATTGGAATGCTCTGGGCTTAAATGCATTGGGTTATCAATAGCTCTGAAGCTTATCCCTCACTAATTTTCATATCATCATGCTAAAAAGCTGCTAAATACTTAACACAGACACAGGGAAGTATGGATCCACGGTAAATTAACGATGGTACAGGTTCAAACAGTATTCACGTTGGTCGAACCGATTAAAACGTTCGAGACTGTTTCTGAGGTTCACAGCCAATAAGTATTCTGTGTAGTCAAATAATGCAAATTTGAGGATGCACTCCAGAGAGAACCCTCTGTGAGTGTATCTTTGCTACAGAAGTCATATTTCAAGCGGTGCATGTTTTACCAGCAATAAATCCCGAGCCTCAAAATGCATATCACTTGCACTCGTGCTCGATCGGAGGTCAACGAATGCATGGAAGGACTATTTAGCCAACCCAGAGTTTGGTGATGCGAAATAATTGTACTAGCATGACAAACACATGATGAATGGGCTTTTTGTCAGCCCCCCGATCACCTTCAGGCAATTACATGGCTGCTCATTCCGTTATCCCGCAATTGTGCGCAAAAATGGTAGATTCCAGGCATATTATTGTGACGATGGCGAAAGAACTGAGAGTGATGATGGATCAGTAAGTGTGATAATCCCTTTCCCGCCAGGCTTCATCACGTTTTGGTGTAGTGTTTCTTCTCCGATGAGGCCTGGGAAGTATTAAGATCCTATGCACAGTTCTTTTACTGTGGAAGTCAATAAATTATACTTCTTACTCCCAGTGTCATAAAGACAACAGTACTTCTAGGAAATGCACTTTTTCAGCATGTTAGGGGAAAAAAAGTACTGCGTTGGGGGCGAGATGGCCCAAATGGTTAGAGCGCAAATACGCTGACCGCAAAGGTCCGCAGTTCGAATCCGACCTCTACCTCTCGACAATCCCTGTCTAGGTTTGGGCAACCTGGCAGTATCCCAGCCCTCGTGCAGCCTTCGGGTGGCAGCGCGGTTAGGCACCGAAAGGGTGCGACATCTGGACGAGTACTGCATTGCTTTCTGTGGAAAACCTTTCTCATCAGACATTTTGACGTGAGGTACATGCATGGTTATATCTATGGAAACCGAGCCTATCAGATATTCAGATTATTCCGTAAATGTGGCACAAACTATCGAGTCTTTAGCAGAATTCAGTTTCCACCAGGCGTTGGGAGATAAGATGCTGTTCAAAATAGTAAGGTGGAAAAACTCATGTCCCACTGGGACAGTCTCATCCATATTATTGCACAAAATAAATAGATAAATGAGTTATATGCAAGTTGCGCAACCAATCAGTTAACTAATCTCCTACAAATCTGCGCAATAGTGTAGCGCATTCCCACTCTAAAGATAGCTGTTGTGACATATAGTCAATAGGTGGTGACAGCATGTTCCCGGGAAACAGTCAAAAGAAAAAACAGACAGCTTAAAATTGCTTCCCCGGCCACCAACAAATGTGTCAGAAACCGCTCCTATCCTTGGAGTGATTTATTACATTTTTATCACAAACAATTGAAGCAACATTATCAGTTGCTATTTATTAAGGTCTTTTGTATTCTAACATGTTCACTAAAGTGCAAAATAGATGATGTGTGTAAAATGAGTTAGTGACCCTGTTTTGAGCATGGGCATCAAATGCAAGAGAATATAAATGAACCACTATACACCCTGCGCTCACCCGGTTGCGATGGTTTACGCATTTCTAATAGTTGAGATCACAGACGCAACACTACATCCAGTTAGGTTATATTGTTGCCAACCCAGCACAACTTATACTTCTTCTCTGATGACGCCGAAACACCAAGATTCCTGCATCAGTTGCAAGAACGGAAAAGTAGTTCGTTTGGGTAATTTTGTCAACCGTCAGAATACTACATACGATCGGATCAAAGTACGCAACCAACGTCTCTTGTGTTCTCATAAATCATCCGATCGTATTTCGTAAAAAGCCTGCTGGGAGAATTATCGAGAATGCGAAAATTGATTTGGGATGGAAACAATAGGGCGGAGAACATTTTACTGAGGAATGTCAAATTAAAGATACTGAAGGGAGTTTTCGGGGACTTGGTTGAAGTGATTTTCGTGAACTAAAACACGGGCAACCTGTGTATGTTCTACAGCAGGCAAATCATGCTGAGTAAAACATCACAAATACCTAAGTACTTTAACGCCTTGTGTCCAAAACTTTGTTTTCGATGCGACTGAAAGGAGAATATGAATCTACGGTTTGAAGTTAAAAGCCACTCTTCTAGAACGATAACTGAAATACCACGGAGATAAAATTCCAATAATCAGGTTTTATTGCGCGGAGAGTTGTGTTTGATCACCTGGGGCCAGTATGGGGGCAAAAGAGGATTCGCGGGAATCCTGCCACGGAAAAAGCCGTAAATCGAGTAAAATTTAAGTGGATCCCACAGAACGCCCTGGATTTTATGACACCGCATTTCAAGCTCAGTGGATGCTATAGACTGTGAGGACACAATGCATTGAAAAGTAAAATGTAGTTGCTCAACGAATAATGAGATATTATCAATATCCATTAGATAATATTTTGCCCAAATTCAGCCAACACTTTACACCAAACTAAAGTTTCAGCCGAATATCAGTTTAAATCAGACTCACCGTTGGCAATCCTGTCGATAGACAACTGGGTCTAACATATGTGCTATCCAAACCCAGTAGACATCTAGTGGTGCTCCGGAGGTGAGCTTGTATTCGGCCGCCAGGGGGAGCCAACAGAATGTGTAACGATATTGTGCCATTTCCTGAAGTTCCGGATTACCCTCTGGGCCTAATAGGTCCGCAATTTGATCCAACCTGCAGAAAAGCTCAACTAAACGACGACAAACAACAGGCAGATTAAGTGACACTGGGATCTTTTTGGGTTGGAATGGAGGCCATGAGCTTAGAAAGCCAATATCTTGCAGCTGTATGCGAGAAATATTGGTGCTCACCTCCTCCGAGCTGACCACACTGCATGCGCGTCGAGAGTTGCAGGCAAATTTTGAATTTGGTCCAAAATAGACTGTCGTTTTTTTTGACGAAGTAGTGGTCGGCGAAAGGTTTCGATTTCCGCTTACACTGGTATGATTTACACCATTGAGTTGAATGCCAAGATCTCCATTTCGATTTGTTTTAAGTCGATCACAGTCAACCGACATGTCATCAGAATTCGATGGAATTGGAGGGGCTTGCCTTTTTATGGTCGGAGAGGAAATGGTCATCGAAACCCCGGGTTCAGTCTAAAATTAAACAGCAAATAAAATCCCAGAAGTTAATATCCTGTCACTGGTAAACAAAGACCACGCATGGACGCGTATGATCCGTGATCCATTTCATAGCTAGTCTCTCTTAATTTCCGGCAAACTCTTTATTACCGCCATGAGTGATGAAAATGAAGTCAGCATCAAACTAAACGTAACTTTGTCCACTGAAATTTTAAAATAGTCCACAATGTTTGCCTTAAAGAAAAAGTGGAAACCACACATTAGGTTCTTCCCAAATTCTCAAGCAAGAAGTAATATTCCGCAACACATTAGATTGTTTTCATTTGTGTATAATTGTTCCCCCGTTAACGTCTCTATTACTGAACGTTTTCCAGCTTTCGAATGACTTATTTCTTCTGCTAGCTAATATTGTGCCACTGTATCCTGAAAAATCTAATTCGAGTTGTCTGGACGACATGGAGCACTACATATGAAATGTACTGGAGAATTAGTTTTCACAGCACCAAGTTGCGCAATGAAGATTCCGTTCGGTGGGCAAGGCAATCCATGCTAAAGAGCCTAGAAGCACTGTACAAATGTTTTATCTTTACTGGGACATCAGCAGTGCACCTCATACAAGGGAGTGTGAGGTGTGAACTTTCTCCTAGCAGTTTGAACACTTAATTGTTTGGTCACAAGGGGCATAGGTGTGATTCCTTGAAGAAGATTCCAGACATTCATACCATACCGGCAGAGTAGCACAATGCAATTTTGACTCACTAACTACAGAATTTTGTGGCAATTTCGGCCTGGTTAATTTGTACTTGTGTATCATTTGATTTCAAACTCGGGATTTGATCTGAGTCACATCCTCTTATCAGATGAAAATAAAGATCAAGCTTTTACTCAGCCGATAGAGATGAAATCAACCATTAAAATTCCAGTTTGGCCTTCGCCTACAGAATTGAGTAGATAGCATTCTTCTGAGTGGCAATAAGCACAACAGTGTTGCTTTATTCTCCTCTCCGGGTCGTCAAAATATCTACAAAAGGCTATCACAAAGTCATTTTTCTCCTCACTTTCTCGCTTGAGTTAAAAAGGGATTCCTTCAAATCTATTCGGTATGTACGACTCTAAGCCCAATGTGCCCAAATAAGTTATACAAGCTTTATACTGTAAATATTTTTCAAAAATGAATTGGCTTCATGGAATGTACAGCTGTTTAAAGCGTTAACCTAAGGCATTTCGGAATGATGAAGCAAGCACCACGAAATTCGCGCTTCGAGGGAAATTTCACGAGGACATCAGAATTTAGCTTTTCTACTCTGATCGCAACTCCGGTAAACTTCAAACATCTGATCCTACATGATGAAGCCAGTAAGTTAGTATGTTTCTAACTGGTGAGCAAAGCAGTAAGCACCACAAGACATTCTTTGATTGTCTGTCATAACTTGCCAAAATGTGATCAGAATGTCTCGCCCGTTCAGCACCTTCACAGTTTTGACTGGAGCTGCGAAGTTCATAACACAAACCCATACAATTTTCGAAAAAGGGATAGCTTGATCCCATGCCGCAGGGATGCGCGTAATTCACAGTCTCTAGATCTGTACTGATTTGTATCAGATTATGTGAAGTGAACACAAACTAAAATGCACTAGAATACAAAACGGAGACGCGATAATTGCATAGTATGACAAATGGGTGGTTTAGTTTCCTCTGTCAAGAAACGCGTATCAAAACTTTCTGAAAAATCACTTTAAAATAAACGGCCCGCTGAGAAAGATATCCCGCGTTTGGCAGCGTAAGACATATTTAAACGATAGTACTTCCGTGTGGCTCGTGATCTTCTACTTCACTTGTCTCTGCTGATGTTGTTACTACAATCTTCAAAGGCTAAAGAACTATTTAGCGGTCTGAATATTTGTTATACTTAGCAGTATTTATGACTTTAAACGACAGGCTAATAAGATATAAAATTCAAACTTTGATTGTCATCCACCATGGAAGAGATTTCAAATTAATTTCGAAGGTCTGTGGTTATGCTCAAATACCACATTTTAGCTACCCCTTAGCGTGAAATATTTTCTGCTCTCAGCCGGTTTTCTTCAGTTTTCTTGGGATTAGGTCAACGTCTGTGTTCGTGGTGTTGCCAGTGCCCAAAAAATCTAACTTAGTATTTTGGCATAAACAAACCGTTGAACGACGATCCATTGGCACCGTTTCTACAATTCATATAAAACGTTTTCCCTCTCCTCCTTGAACGCAACTGATTATTGATCACCAATGTCTACTCTTCTTGTTTTGTTTTTGCGCGCTCTTTCGAACCAAACTTAAAGCCCTAAAAACATTAAAGTGTATTGCGCCTATGAAACGTTCGATGGTTGCAGTGCAAATTTGACGCCCCTGAAATTTGTAAGTCATATAAATCGTGCTATGTTAGTGACCAACTTGCAGTTTGCGATTATTAAATGCCTAGGAGCGAGGAAACAGGAGCAGGAATCTTGGTTGTACTGTCATGAGAAAAAAGAAAGTCGTTAGCCTAGGGTCTTAATAAGAGCCGACTCTGTAAGACATGCCTTTTTGGCATTTTAGAGGTAGCATGTTGTTGTAGCGCTATAAGCTTCTTAGATTCTGAAATGACTTTCCAAACTTTCAGATAAACTACCATTCTAAAACTTGGTGTCCAAATATACGTTATCTCGTAAGCTTACACTTTTGAAGGTTGCTTTTGAACTCTGTTTTAGATCTATTATAAGTAAAGACAACATTTTCAATACCACTGAAATATAATGGATTATATACAGTAGTAAAATGTGCTTGAAGTCAAAATCCCAATGTAAACAAAATATGCTTCGACACCAGGACAGTGATCTGTAACCAGCTTTCTGTGTTCATTCGTGTGTCCTTGAATGATAGGAACAGAAAATCATGTATAAATACGGTGGATAGAACTGGAAAAGCTCAGCCATCCTGGATAGCCGATAAAGAAATGTATTCACACACAGAGACGACTTAGTTAATTGAGCTTTATAACACTCGAGCATGTTAAGCTCTGAGAGACGGTTAGACGAAAACGTTGGTTGTTTTCGCGCCACTCTTGCTAATGGAAAACTAGACTACCGGTGACTGCTACATAGCTTTAACGGTCAAAAGCAATTCCTATGCATTTTGCGAGTACCTGATTCCGTAAACACAATAAACCGACATCTATAAACCATGCTATTTGTACTTCCTTTCCCCCGGTCAAACTCGTCCCTTGTCTGCTGCTGTTTACTGCGTCTACCTCATGGACTCGATATTCATTTGTAATTCCTCATAAACTTTAACCCTTGACTTGTCGAACCAATTCGGTCAGTCATCCTTTACGCCCGGTTATTGACCATTTTGTGTTACCATATGTGGTACCCATGCGTGTGTCGCAAACTAAGATCAATTTGCCATTTTCCCCGGACTTTCTTTGAACATGCACTACATCGTGCAACAATTTAGACGGAAACCCTCCATAATTTGAGGTTTGTATCCCTTTATTTAGGTATTTTATACATGCAGTATCGCATCTTTTGATAGATGTCAAGAATCCACACTTTCTGGCTTGTGATTTTGCGCGTCACTTAAGTGGGCTTTTCTGAATACGTCGAAGTATTTTACACTACTCTTAAAAATTGTCCTTGGTTTATACTTTTCCGTAGTATACCATTAACCATGCACAATTTTGAGACGCATTTTCTCTGCTCCAACACTATTAATTTTGAGTGACACCTACTGGCTATACGAGAATTAAAGTATCCTGCCACTAACAACCCGAGCCCCCCAAAGCCCTGAGTGCCAAAAAGGTGTTGAGGGTTTAGTTGCAGATATTTAGATGATAAATCTGATGAAAACTTGGTAGAATCCGAAGATCAAATTAGACTTAGGATAGAGTTTTATGCCGCCCTTGCTCACTCGCGCAAGTATTCCCTATGCGGTTAAAACTGAATTTCAATTCCCGGCTTTTTCTTACATGACTCACCATACCGCCGTTGGTGAAAGGTAATGTTTCTTGCGCTGATTGCATATTGGTTGTTGCAGAGTTTGCTGTCTGGCCTAGGGTACTTGACTGACGCCACAAACTGTCTCAAAATTTGTATACAATATCGCTGTCAATATGAATGCAGTCATCATCTTCCTTTTCCCAACCAGACAAGGAATTTATATCGTCCACCCCAGATGTATGCCCTTAGCTGGGCAGACCGCGAGACCATCTTTGTATCTTCTGTTGTAAAAGCTTTTGAAGAGGGTCAACTGGGGACTGCACAGGATGACGTTTTTTGTAATTATGCAAACAGTTTGCTAGACAAATTGAAGATAAAAGATGAGCAGCACACTGCTTGAATTTTTCCGATTTTCACTCCCTTCATGAGCCACAAAACCAATGATTTGATAAAGATCGAACTTGGTCTCCTTGAAGAGGAAACATATTTAGGTCGATGCTGAGATCCTGTTCACCACATTGAGTCGACCATCCACCGACGTCATAAGCTCAATAGATAATGTTAGGCAACTCATTCTGTTTATTTTGCCCTTCGCGAACCAAAACAGATTTTTTAACAATTTTTGTTTTCAGGAACAGCCAAACACACTGCAACAATTTAAGACTGCCCAAGGGCCAGCAACTTATCACCCAGGTAATCCGTTCTGCAAGATGAGTGCAACTATCACATTACAGGACCATTTGAGGTATGTGAAAACAACAAAAATTATTCTGGGCAAGTTTATCTATAAGCGCCTTGAACTGAGTGGGTTAAATTATTTCGTCCAATCGTGGACAGATGTGATATTCGTCCCACACAACATATACTTTCAGTTTGTCACCATGAGAAGTGACGCAAAAAGCTGTCATTTTTTCTTTTCAGATCTCAATTTCCAAAGTGATTTAGGCATTCTCTTGTAACTGACTATGCAAAAAAATATCGGAATTTTTGGCCACTGAGGCAGTACAAACTATTCAAGCACCTGAAACCGTGGATCGTGAATAAACTTTTAAATAACATTCATTCTTGATTCAAACTGTTTGAAGCTTCTGCAAAAGAATGCTAAACACTGTCCTTGATCGTTTCAATGGACTTTTCTCTCACTTTCGACCGGTTTCAAGTAAATGCAGTATAAAAGTAACGCCCGTGATCTTTTGACTCAGGATAAATTTTGCGTGTTCTCAAAAATATATGCAGAGAGGATTTAGTCCTCTAGGTGAGTTAATTTTAGGCTCTTTTTGATTTTGCTGCTTGCAGCTGACTGTGCAGAAAGTTATCGGAGTTCTAGTTATTATCGAATAGAAATGACAGATATGACGAGTAAGACGTGACCTGCAAGGAGAGTATGTGTGGTAGAGTTGGAAACACGGCGTTTGTTGACACTGTGAAACTCTCATTAGGATTTTTGTGCACTCAAAACTCCCCAGACACTGGCGTCTTAACGAACAAGAACAGGAAAGAAACAGAAGTTCACTGCGTTTCAGTTGGCCTCCATTCTGGGATTAAATCCTGTCTTGAGGTTAAATACAAGTCCGAGGGAAATGCATGAATGTCTACGTGGATGAGAGATAAGAAAATTGCTCGGGAACATCAAAGTTGATTTCAACTCCATCAGATCTCACCGTCACCCAGCGTTTCTGTTTAACAATAGAAAGATCACTTCTCGTTTCTGTTACGCTGCCGCGCGAATTAACCAGATTATCAAGTAGCATTACACCTGTGTTTTGACATATCTTTGAAAGGGAAAGTAGTGAATTGTAAGCCATCTTCTGGGTTTAAAGTTTCGCTGTCCCAAATTTATACTTTCCAGCAGCTGATCTCAAAAGTACATCGCTTTGGTAACGGTGACACGTTTCACAAAATAATTGTTGACTATAAACCTCCTAGCTTGTTTCCTAATCTGCCTCTTTGTACAAACTACTGCAGTGTGTGGTTACAGTAAAATGGCTTTTTTTCGACTCAGGGTTAAAGAACGTTGTAGGTTTATTGAAAGACACGATTAGGGTAACCGATGTTACTGGGAAGCTTTGCTGGCATGGTCATTCCACTCAATACGTTCCTCTTGATTTAAACTCAATCCTTTGATTCGACCAAATAGTTCAACTATGTTTTTTTTCACTCTGCCCTTTTGTGTACAGAACTGATCCATTCTTTTGAATTTGGTTAGTATACTGCGACTATCTATCCTTGCTAGAAGTATGTACTTTGAACTTCAGACTATATTCAAACAAGTTTTTGCGGCCTATCCTGGCGCGAGATTCGGCTGTTGTAGGCCGACCGGCAAGCTGATAAATAGGCAGATAACTGTGATGGAAGCTTAGAAGAGAGCGAGATTGAGGAAGGAACGCTCAGTAGCACAGATGTATATTGGTACTTTCAACTTTGAAGTATTCACCAACAATCAGTAAACTATGGGTATTCCACACGGGAGAATAATTCATAAAACGATTGAAACTTCCATATAAGAATTTGTAACAGTCAACGCCCGACCCCGTAACATGGATTTCATATTCGAATGTTGATAAGTGGCGCTATAATATGTCCAAGCGCGAGATGATCACAATCTTGATCAGCCGCTGATGGCTGCACGGTAAATTGGTTAAAAGAGAAGCCGGGAGGTGGTGGGTTCAAAGTTTCTTGGAGTTGCGTACTGTTGATGTTTCCCATTAAAGACAAAACAGCTACAAGTGGCCTCACACCCCTCAATTAAAGGAAGGAATCTCGATTAAAAACAATGTACCATGTGTAGTTCTGGGCTTTCCGAGAGACCGCTACAAAAATAGTATTCTTTTTCTCAGCTGTTCGTTATACGTAACTCAATTCGATCCTAGATTATTTTTAAAAAACACAAGGTTGGATAAAGTCGTGGAAGAAAAAACTACCCTCAGGAATTCATCTCTGCATCTGGGTTTATATTTTTTTGTTTTGTTTCCTAACATTTAAGTCAAATTAAATAATAAGGTCATTCAATATTTTATGCCAGATTTGTCTGTGCGTGCAAAATTGATTGAGCAGTAAGCCCCACTGATTTTGTCTGCAAATGGTTCTTAAATGGGTATGGGTATTAAAATGTAGGCGTTCTCATAAAAATCGGAAACTAAACAAATTCTTCGTAAAAATCACATAGAAGATAAAAGTTGTTAAACAGTAGAATATGCCTGGGAGCTACCAAGTGGTATACTTTAGAGACAGCATAAAGGGAAGTTAAAATGTTCCCTATTTGAGGAATTAAATGGGAAATTTGTAGAAAAGTTGTTGTATCTAGTCCAGAAACGAATAATTCCACAAAGTCTCCTCTAAGGTTGGGTAAAACTAACTCAGCCTAATTAGATGCAAAATAACAAGCGTATTGCTTTTCCTGTTTAGGAGATACCGTTAATCAGGAATGCTAATTAGGTAAATAGACAATAAACGAGTTTTACACATAACACCAGAGAAATAATGAAACTATGTAGATTGTTTACGAACGGCCTAACCCTGTTTTATTCTCACCTCAGGGAGCATGGTTCTCAAATCCCCAGGGGAAATGTTTTCCACTTGAATGTACAATCATTACTCTGCCTGACAATTAAAGAAAGGGCAGACGTCACAATCCAATTAAGGGCACATGTTTGCCAGACTATCCTAAAGCTAGGTCACGCAATGATCTCAGGATTTTTAATCAATTAACTCAAGGCAACATGCAGGAACATGTTTGTTTGGAATAGCAGGGTTCTGGCAGAAAATTTCAAACAAGTGTAAAAGAGTTACCTAGCTCTGAACGTGCCGAGCTCGCGTGACGTTAGCTAACACGTTCGTGCCAGTCAGCGGCTAGGTAGGACAAAGTATTTGGTCAAAGACCCGAAAGTGTGCGGTCACAGTATTATTCTTTTTTGGGGGACAGATTAAAAGGAGAGACAATGTAACATGTGGGCCGGGGCAAAATCATTGACGGAAACTGAGAAACGGTTATCGAAATCGCAAAATCAGGCGAACTCAACTGAAGATGAGGAAAACTCTACTGACCAGGTTGGATTTTGGTAAGAGGCATACCTTGGCAAATAACATAAAATTGCTTTAGAATCGGGTAAATAAAGATAGACGAATTTAGCGAAACACACTCATTTGCAAATTAATTTGAATTTTTCCAGAGAATCACACAGAACCCATCTGAATCTCTCGGTTTTGATGTTTCCAGCTGAGGCTCTCGAAAAAACAAATTAGTTTGCAAATGGGTGTACTTCGCCAATTTCGTGCAACTTGTTTTCAAGTAAAACATATGGTTGAATTAAACTCGGGGACTGCGCCTACCTGGTGAGCCTCAAGAAGGGCGAAACTGGTCGTGGACTGTCGAGGAGCTTTCAGCAACCTTATGAGTGGTACGTTACAACAGATAAAAGATAGACAGACATAAAAGGAAGTTGATTCTTTTGTATACAAGCCAAACAACCCCAAGCCTAGTAGGACAACGGCAGCATGTCTGCTACTAATTTTGTTGCTGTACATCAAATGCTTTCAGTGTACAAAGAGATAGAGTCGGGCAAAAAGGGTAACATGGGCAAACGAGAGTCATCATCAGCATTATCACCGACAACACTGACGGGAGACTTGGCTGTGAAAAATGCTGACTTTCGTGTACCGACTGCTCCAACTTGTGGTAATTACACACTCCTCCGGATAATCTTGTGACAAGATGTAACAATCTGAACGTCAGTCGGTGACAGAGACGGAACCTAAATTTAGCAGATTCGGAAGCATTATTATAACAACTGAAAGGTTCAGTTTTCCAGCAAATATTGAGGCTAGATGAATGAACACTAGTGAGTCGGTATCTTGGGCGTCCCCTGGTTGCAGTTCAGACCAGTCTACTTGAGTGGTGTGCTTGGTAGCCCTACAAGACATCTCAGTGTACAAGATAACATGGATTCATCACACATGTTTACTGAAGTCCGCGTTCTCGTCGGATACTATGGGATGGTCCAGAAATATATTACTAAGGAGGGTAAAAAAAATGAACAGGGGACTGTACCAGGTTACTTCCATCTGGCGTTTGCAAAAAGGGCTCTAATCACGAAAAGATGCTCCGTGAACAGGAAAAGAGTTGTAAAGTCCGTTTCTCAGACGATATAGGCGTGAGATCCGGGTCAAGAACAACGGATACTGCTCCCTCAGATTCTCCCTCAAAATAATGTAACGAAATATAATGTGAAGGCATCAGATTAGACACATTTGGTCTGCTGAGGTTTTCGAAAAGGCCGAATGGCCACATCTGAACTTCTATGTTTGCCGTCCTGTAAAAGTCACTCGAAAGTCACTCACTGGCACTTAAACCGCTGCAAGGATCGTGGACAGGAAACTGCCGAAGTCGCTTGTTCTTTGCATGACACTCAGTAGACGCACTCAATTCTCCTACAGGTATAACCTCTATCACCACTGATAACTCAAAGGAATGCTCCAAAACAACACCTACGTAATAGCTGTTACTCCAGGCTTAACCTAGTAAACTCCTAGTAACCTAGTACTCCATTAAAAATTATCCGCCTAGGCAACAATCCACACCTTACCCCCCTTTCTAAACTATGGTATTACTCCGTTCATTTCTGTTCGTTTTTGAGTACCAGATTTCGTACCTAGCGTAGTATCGAATCCTGTGATTCTTGGCGCATGATACCATCTGATACTGTAAGTAATAAGTCATTAAAAATCACTGAGATAAGCGAAATTTGCACCTAATTATAACATTTGAGGTGGAGAACAAAACATGGTGTGTTTGGTTGGTGCTGTAGACTAATGAGCTACAAATCCATGAGACTCTAGTGTGAGACCGCTCGTAAAGTTAGGCGAGTCCACGGGCAAACTTAGGGAGGGAGACGAAGACAACGCATGCATCATCTTTCCTGTGGATTAAAGAAAGTGACTACTTCAATCCATTTGGCGGATTTACTTACTTCAGTGGATTGTTTCAGGAGGAGGCTAATGCCCTTTGATGTGCACCTGACCGCCAGTAACTGTTGGTTATTGCTCCTTGAAAGAAGGTCCTTGCAAAATGACCCAAAAACTGTTGTAGGATCGTTGCTTCTCTTGCGCCAAATATCCTTTCCCATTAGTTAGAAATTTTTCATTTGACGATCATTCGTTAATGCATGAAGTGCTGCTGTTTCCTTGTTGAACTCACTCAATTACATTCAAAAGCAGCAACAATCAGCCATTCCGTCGAGAGAATGCATTTTGCTGAAATATAAGCTCTGTTATCCTAGGCGCTGATTTACACACAGAAATATTTGGTTAGAAATATGTTATACTAAAATGCTAGCAGTAATTGTCTTGATAACACTAGTACGTGAATAAAACTTTCATCACTCACAAACTAGTCGAAAATTAATATCGTTATTGACACTACAAATTTGCGCTTTTGTCAAAGATCCGAGTGCAAGAACCAATCATACGCCCCTTGAACACTGGTGTGCCGATATCTTGGTCTTCAAATTCATTCAAGAGATTCTTAGCACTGCGTGGTGTACAATCCATGACTATATTAGAACATCCTGATGTTGGTTAATGTAGGATAGTTGGACAACTTGCGCAGACTTTGCGAAGAATCTTCACAGTCGACACAGGCGCCTGGGTCAGTCAGCCTGAGTTAGCATTGGTCTGCTTAGTGAAGTTGCTTTCAGCGGTCTGGGACAGAGTAGGTGATCAAACGTTTATGACCAGTTGTTTGTATTGATTGGGACTGGAGAGAGTGTGAAGGTGTGCGAATTTCAAATGGCTACTCTATGAATTCCTGTCCGCCGTCAGCAAAAGTTGCAACTACATTCCACCTATGTTTACAAAGGAGTACGATCATTTCAGTCCAAATGGACTGCAGACTTGTCTCATGTCTGTGGTTCACGTAGTTTAACCTACATGGTTTCTGGCCACCTGCGTCGCTTGTTTGACCTGAACATCAAAGGTCGTAATAGCGTGGTTAACTTGTCTTGCTTTCAGTGTACACATACTGAGCGCTGAGTCACCCCCTAACTTTTTACACTCCCATGTGGAGCTGTGCTCTAAAGTTGTGTGGCTTTTTGGCGTACGTGCTTGATCCGGTATGTTGCAGCACGAATTCTGTAAACAACTTTCATGTAGTCAAAACAGTCCGTGGTATCTGACGCTTATGTCGACATTGATGCAACGGTGGGTTTTCAAATATTAGTATCTGATGGACTACTATTTCTATTGTATTATTACAGTACGGTGTATGATGAACGATTTCCCGTTCTATAGTCTAATCGCTTGTAGACTGCACTTGTCATTGCGCATAGCTCCAAGATTTTCAGCAAAGCCCAACACGACCCTAATGTTATTGATCAGGGTTTGTTGATGATGATGATGAACCGGTTCAAAAAGTGTGAGTCTCGTAGACGGACACAATGAGTATCGAAATGTTTAACGTGCTATTGCAACAAGCTTAGTTTTCGACTGTGACTCAAGCATGTTCTGAACCACAAGTTGTAATGAACCATAAGTAATTGCGTTTAGGCGAGTAAAATAATTAATTCGCTGATCGCAACAACACACTTCGCAAATTAAGCTACATTAGCAGTATCTACGCTAGAACAAACATACCAAGGATAAAGAAGCTGATTTCCCACTACATTTTTGACATTCCCAAAAATTACCCATTTTTGAGTACGAATCGTGAATTTAATGAAGGCAAAAAAAGTGATGGTAAACTTTCTGGCAGAAATGAGAAAACGTTAGGCGGAATATTTCAAATGCATCAACTTGAGATATTTATCTGAGCGATGACCGCTGATGAGTATAGGTTGTAGCGCATGATGCAGTGTCATAAAGTGTTCAACAATATAGAGCATCAATCAGTGAACGACATCCATGCATCGAACAAGAATAGTCTTTTGTGCATAGGCAGCCATCCCTCCAGAGAGAACTCTTGACTCATCCCCTAAAATATTTCGCCAGGAAGACACCTATATTTTCCAGCCTCTATGGCTGTACCAGCTGGTTTGAAAACACGCATTGTAACCACTATCACATTATGAGGAGATAGTGATTCATTCCCTCCGCTCGCCTTATGACTGTATTTAGTGAGGACATTTGTTCAAAAATCCATTAATTTATTGATCTGTGCAATCAACGAATCAAACAGTTACATACGTACAGAGTACCCTGACAATGTCCGGGGTTATTGGCAAGTGCGCACCAAACTCAATGCTAAAATCATCTGTCTGTTATCACTGTAAAAATGTGTTTGTGGCACTTTCTGTCGCGTAAATGGATGTAAAGTAACAAGTAGATAAAGACGTGGGTAGCCACACCAATTGAAGCTATTCCAAACAGTACCACTCAGCCAATTCGAATCGACCTAACAAACCTAGGACAACATCACAATAAAAGCCTCGAAAGAAGATTTCGGTTCCTCAACCTCTAGATTTGCTATCAATATGGATTAACATTGAAGTTTGATAGTAGGATGAGGATGTTCACACTGCAAAGCAAAAGCAAAATATCCGTTCATTTGTTTCTGCGTTGCGCCAAAGAGTAGATAAAAGCTTGGGTGTAAAACAAGTCACAAGAGATTCTTCCAACTATGTTTCCCTCTGGAGGCCAATAAAAAAGTAAAACGTCATTATAGGTTGGGCAGGTGGCCGGTGGAAATACACCAAAAAAACATTCGGAATCAATGAATTACAACTGAAGTCGCGAGATATTTTTTACACCTGTTGGTACAAACCACTATCTTGCCTGAATATATTTGTATCTTAACAGCTGTTAAGACGACCATAGAGAGTTGAAAGTTTTACTAGGAAAAAAGAACATCACAAAACTTTACCTGATTCTACCGTTTCCTTTGAGACCTGAAATCGTGAACTATGACACACCGATCCACTTCTAAAAACTGCGCACTTGTTTCCGCATAAAATTTGTTCAAATGTTCATTCTTGATAATGAGCTACGAGCCATGAGATTTTTGATGACCGTTTTAGTGAAGGCTCACTCCAACTCTGCTAAACAAGACACATCCACAACTAAGCCTCTCCCTGGTCGTTTCAACTCCAATTACTGTGTGCTCTGGCCCTCACGTACAACTGCGGTTGACCACAGATTAGCCAGGAGGGAAATGCTGTATAGAAAAACAGAACATCGGTGTAATCAAATAGGAATGCCAGATACTTTGATTATCCCAACAACAGACCAAAGCGAACTAGGGTTTAGAAGAACTCAGGCTCAATTATTGGTTGGTTGATGTCTATATTAACTAATTTCCCCTCTAATTCCAAAGTTTCCCAAGCATCTATCCATATGGTCGACAAGAAACTTTAGGACTCTATACCCACTATCTAATTTTACTTCTGAAGCAGTCAAAAATTCTACGTACTATGGCCCACCGCGGATTGATTCTCAGGGTTTGCAACCACATGTTCGACAATGTTGATAGCTCAATTGCATATCGAAAGACTGCACACTTGTGATGGCCGTTGGGTGTTTGAACCAGGCGATTTGATTTCGATTACAGATTTCTGGTAACCTGTGGTTTTCCTCACCGGACCAACTTTTCACCTTAACGTGCGGCTAATTCGAAGCCAAGCAACCAAGTGACAGTGAACTGAGTCGTAACGCAACTATTTGGATTCTAGCGTGTCTGTTTATCTCGCA